CCCTCCCCCCCCCCTTCCCCCCCCCCCCCCCCCCGTATTTCTCCCAGGCCACGCCCCCTCAGCCCCACCCCGGCGGCCCCGGTGACCACGCCCACCGGTACCAGCCCCGGTACGTCACCGCCCACGCGGCCCAGCCCAGCGCGGCGCCGGCGGCGTTCCGCGCCCAGGTGTTGCGGTAGGTGAGGGTGACGACGAGCAGGAAGTGCCACGTGACCAGGAGCAGCAAGGCCAGCAGGTAGAGCACCGAGAGCGCCGCCGGCGGCGCGCGCTCCTCCCCTCCAAAATGGCCGCCGGAGCCTTCAAAATGGCCGCCGCGGCGAGCGAGATGGCGGCCGCGGCGTGGAGGTTGGCCGGGGGCAAGATGGCCGCCGGCGCGGTCAAAATGGCCGACGTCGAAACGGCTGAGGCGGGGTTCAAGATGGCCGCTCTCAAAATGGCCGCTTTCAAAATGGCCGCCTTCAAAATGGCCGCCTCGGGGTTCAAAATGGCCGTCGTGAGGTTCAAAATGGCCACCGTGAGGTTCAAAATGGCCGCCGTGAGGTTCAAGATGGCCGCCGTGAGGTTCAAGATGGCCGCTTTCAAAATGGCCGCCTCGAGGTTCAAAATGGCCGCCCCTGCCCCAAAATGGCCGTCCAAGATGGCCGCCCCAGCCGTAATAGGAAGGCCCCGCCCCTTCCGGTGTCAGCGGGCGGCCCCAGCCGTAATTTGCATGCGGAGGCTCCGCCCACTCCAATCGGATCGGCCGCGGCCACGCCCAGCCTCTTCCGGCCGCCATCTTGGATTCTTCTCCCACCTCGTATCCGGCCGCCATCTTGGACCTGGGCGCCATCTTGAATTCCTCCCTGACGTCATATCCGGCCGCCATCTTGCCGCGCTCCTCGGCCGCCATCTTGCCCCTCCCCCCGTAGAGGCTCCGCCCCAGCGCCGCCGCCTCCTCGGCCAATCCCAACCCACAATGCACCAGGGCGAAGGCCTGGGGGGCGGGGCCAAACCCCTCCCAGGTGTGCCCCGCCCCCCGACACGCCCCCGGATCGTCCAATGGGAGCAGCAGGATGCCCTGGGGGGCGGGGCTTCGGCACCAACCCGTGGCGGCCTCCAGGGCGTGGCCGAGGGCGTGGCCGGCGCGGGAAAGCGCCAGCGCGACGGCCAATCGGGCGAGGGCGCGCAGGGCGGAGCCCCAGGGGGGGCGGAGCCAAGGGTGGGAGGCCACCAGGAGGGAGCCAATCAGGAGCCAGGTCCAGGCGGCGGCGCTGGAGGTCAGGCGGCTGCGGGAGGGGCATCAATTATCGATTATTGATTATTGATTAGCAATTATTGATCATTAATTATCGGTTATTGGTTATCAGGGATTGATTATTGGCGTCTGATTATCGGGGATTGATTATCGGGGATTGATTATTGATTATCGGTTATTGATTATCAGGGATTGATTATTGGTTATCAGGGATTGATTATCGGTGTCTGATTATCGGGGATTGATTATCGGGGATTGATTATTGATTATCGGTTATTGATTATCAGGGATTGATTATTGGTTATCGGGGATTGATTATCGGCGTCTGATTATCGGGGATTGATTATCGGGGATTGATTATCAGGGATTGATTATTGATTATCAGTTATTGATTATTGGGGATTGATTATTGGTTATCGGCGATTGATTATCAGGGATTGATTATCCGTTTTTGAGTATCTGGGATCGATTATCAGGAATTGGTTATCGGGGATTGATTATCAGGGATTGAATATTGATTATCGGTTCTCGATTATCAGTTATTGGGTGTTGATTATTGGTTATCGGGGATCGATTATTGGGGATTGATTATTCGGGATTGATTATTAGGGATTGATTATCAGGGATTGATTATTGGGGATTGATTATCGGGGATTGATTATCAGGGATTGATTATCAGGGATTGATTATCGGGGATTGATTATTCAGGATTGATTATTGGGGATTGATTATTCGGGATTGATTATCGGGGATTGATTATTGGGGATTGATTATTGGGGATTGATTATCAGGGATTGATTATCAGGGATTGATTATCGGGGATTGATTATTCAGGATTGATTATTGGGGATTGATTATCAGGGATTGATTATCGGGGATTGATTATTTGGGATTATTGGGGATCGATTATCAGGGATTGGTTATCGGGTATTGATTATTGGGTATTGGTTTATTCCAATTTATTCATATAAATAGAATCTGCCCCATAGATCCATCCCCAGCCCCATGGCGGGGAGTCCCAGCCCCACAGATCCCAATCCCGGCCCCACAGATCCCATCCCAGCCCCACAGATCCCCGTCTCACCCCACAGATCCCATCCCTGCCCCATAGATCAATCCCCAGCCCCACAGATCCCAATCCCTGCCCCATAGATCCCAATTCCTGCCCCATAGATCCCATCCCTGCCCCATAGATCCATCCCAGCCCCATAGATCCCAATCCCTGCCCCATAGATCCCAATTCCTGCCCCATAGATCCCATCCCTGCCCCATAGATCCCATCCCAGCCCCATAG